CTCAAACCAAACGCTGTCCCGATCAAACAGCGCCACTACCCTCGTAACCCTGCAATGCAAGCGGTCATCAACGATGAAGTAGCTGCCATGCTGAAGGATGATGTAATCGAACCATCCGAGAGTCCATGGAGCTCTCCGATCGTGTTGATCCGGAAGTCGACTGGGAAATACCGCTTTTGCATCGACATGCGCAGGGTGAACGACTCCTCGATCAAGGACGCCTATCCTCTGCCTAGGATTAACGCCATCCTTGAGAAGCTCCGGCAGGCCAAGTTTATTAGTACCTTGGACCTGAAGCAAGGCTACTGGCAAGTGCCATTGGCCGTCGACAGTCGCCCCGTGACCGCCTTCACTGTGCCAGGCCTAGGCCTTTTTCAGTTCAAGGTCATGCCGTTTGGCCTACACTCTGCCGGTGCCACCTTCCAGCGCCTTCTGGATAGAGTCATCGGGCCTGAGCTGGAGCCGAAGGTCTTCGCGTACCTTGATGACCTTGTGGTAGTGTCAACATCTTTCGAGGAACATCTAGAACTTCTAGGGGTTGTTTTTCGCCGCCTACGCGAGGCGGGCCTTCGTTTAAACCCCGAGAAGTGTCTCTTCGCCCGTAGGGAGCTGAAGTATTTGGGACACATCGTGAGCCAAGATGGAATTGCCACGGATCCTGAGAAGGTCCGCGCCATTCAGGATTTCCCCGCACCCACGAACGTCAAGGGACTTCGCAGTTTCCTAGGCCTTGCGTCGTGGTATCGGCGATTCGTCGAGAAGTTCGCTTCAGTAACCATTCCGCTTCGAGGTTTGCTGAAGAAGAACGCCAAGTGGCTCTGGGGACCCGAACAAACTAAGGCATTCGAAGCTCTGAAGCACGCCTTGGTGACGGCCCCGATTCTCGCCTGTCCCGACTTCAGCCAACCCTTCGTGCTCCAGGTCGACGCCTCGAATTATGGCCTGGGAGCAGCGTTAACTCAGAGTGTAAACGACCGAGAAGTGGTCGTTGCGTATGCCAGTAGGCTACTCTCTGAGGCCGAACAGAACTACACAACTACCGAGAAGGAGTGTCTCGCTCTCGTGTGGGCTGTTCGGAAATTCAAGGCTTATCTCGAAGGCTACCACTTCATTGCGATAACCGACCATGTCGCCCTAAAATGGCTGCTTAAGCTCAGTGAGCCTAGTGGGCGCCTGGCTCGGTGGGTTATGGAGTTGCAGCAATTCGACTTCGAGATAAGGTACCGCAAGGGGACAGCGAACAGAGTGGCCGACGCCCTGTCTCGTCAGCCGGTCCCTGAAGCGCCCAGCTCGTCTGGTGAACCCGGTCAACCTACGTTTGAGGTCGGAGTTTTAACCAGACGCGGTGATAGGAAACGGTTGCGGTTACGACGCCTAACCGATGCTGAAGGTGACGAACCTTCACTCGGCGATGATCCGGCGGGTGACGTTATCGATCACGAAGCTCCTGGTCCGACGCAGCAGGAGACTGACGACCCATCTTCCGACGTGGACAACGATGGTAACCCGCCGGGCAGCCACGGTGCTTGGTATGACCGCCTTCGCAATCTGGTCAGCAAACACCCTGGGCGATACTCGAGATACCAGCTTCGCGACGGTAAGCTGTATCGTGCTGTCTCGAGGAAGGATCGACCTACGACATGGAGGGTGTGTGTGCCAAGCGACCAAGTATCCGTGGTGCTGCACGAAAACCACGACACGGCTACGGCAGGACATCTTGGGGTGAAGAAAACGTTAGCCCGAGTTGGTGGGGAGTACTTTTGGCCTAACTGGCGTCGTGAGGTGAAGGCCTATGTACGGTCTTGCGCCCAATGCCAGGCCTATAAAGTACCCCAAACGAAACCAGCTGGGAAAATGTACTTCCGACAACCCCAAGGACCGTGGTACGCAGTGTCTGCTGACCTGGTAGGCCCATTGCCTAGATCACAACGGGGTCAGCGATTTCTGCTCGTGGTGCAGGATACCTTCAGCAAATGGACGGAACTCGCCTCCATTGCGTCTGCAACCGCAAAGAATGTGGTGACAAAGCTGAAGGCTATCCTACTTCGACATGGAGCTCCGGATGTGTTGATTACGGACAACGGCACGCAGTTTGTCGGTAAACTGGTTCGAGAGTTGGCGGCGGAGTGGGGCATCACGCTGCAGACGACGGCCCCCTACAGCCCGCAGTCGAACCCAGTCGAGAGGCAAAACCGGGTGGTGAAGACCATGATTGCACAGTTCGTAAAAGGCAACCATAGGTCTTGGGACAACCACCTGGTGGAGTTTCAGTACGCCCTGAACACAGCTGTCCACGACTCTACTGGATTCACTCCTGCGATGCTGTGTTTTGGTCGCGAACTGAAACCTCCCTGTGCCGTCCGTGGCCCTTCGTTTGAGGTGTCCGAAACTCACCAAAGTCCCTCGTTAAGCGAGACCCATCGCAAACGACTGGAGGACTTTCAGCGTCTGATCGCGCAGACACGCAATAACCTCAAGGCCGCCTACGAAAGGCAATCATCATATTATAACCTCCGTCGCAGGGAGGTGACGCACGAAGTCGGCGCGCAGGTGATGAGAAGACTCCACGTCCTGTCTTCTGCTGCTGACGCCATCGTAGGGAAATTAGCACCAAAATATCATGGCCCCTGCATTGTGGTCGGTCGTCGAGGTACTAACCTCTACGAGGTGCGTGATGAGGATACTGCTGCACTGCACGTCGTTCACGTGAAAGACTTGAAACCTTTCTGTGCACGTGACTAGTCTGCAAGGATCCCGCAACCGCAGCGACGTCTGGTGATCCGTTGTTCGTCAGTCCTTTCGGTCACGTCAAGCTGCCGACAAGCAGCCATAGCTAACCCTCGTCTGGGGGTGACGAATCCTCGTGAGTAGCTCTTCGCCCCGCTTCCAAGACTCCGAGCCTGCCGTACTACCCTACCTTTGTAAACCCCACGCTTACTCTTCACCTTTGGTTACTCTTCGCCCCGATTCGTTTTCGTCCAGACCTCTGAGGCAACTCGGCCTCAGACAGTCTACATCATTACTAATTTCGCCCACTTTTCGTCGTCAACACCCTGGAGCAGCCGGACCAACGGGGTCCGGCATCGGCTTCTGTCAATTTTTCCTGCCCACGATCCTACTGATGTGTCATCTGCAGGAAAGTTCAACAGTTTTTTTCTTTTTCTCGTTTTTCTTTTTTTTCGTTCCGAAGTGTGGAGGGGGTGTAACGGGTCAAATGTGTAGGGGGTAAAATAACGGCTAAACCACGAACTTTAAACAGCTAAACATAAGCTGTTGAGTAAGCCTAGTCGCGACACTAAACTGACGTCGTACCTAACCTCAAATTCCAAGACCGCAGACGACGTTGGTGTCAGTTTGGTTGTTTGGCTGTTCGACTGCGTCTGAGGCCGGGCTACGGGAGAGAAGATGAGCAGCGGGGTCACCTTTGAGCGGTACGCGGCTGTAAGCCTGTTAAAGCTGCCATGCGCCTGCCTTCGCTGCCAGTTTTTTTTTGTTTCTGTAACTCGTTGACCAATCAGGAATCGTTTTAACTTTCGTCTCCATTCTGAGACGAAGGTGAAGTAAGAAGAAGTTTTGTGAAGTTTGGTTCATTCGTATTCCCGGTTTTTCGCGAGTTCGTTCGTCTTCAATTTGAAGAGTTTTTGTTTTTGGTTTGTCGCTTAAAAGTTAGCCTACTTTAAGTTCGTGGTGCATCGAGTGCGCAAAAAGTGTTTCACAGTATTATTACTTCGTTTGGTAAGTTGTGTAACACTTAGACAACGTAGGTTTTTCTTTCGAATACTTCTCCGTCACTTGTGTTTCGGCAGAACTTTGTCGAAGTTCATAGGCTAGGCCTGATTCGCAGACCTCGTCATACGCTTTAACCAACTCATTTAATTAAAGTATCGGAGTTGGTGACAGATCATTTCGATTAACGTTTCATAATCCGTATTTGGGACTTACTTTTTAATTCTTAAATCTGTTTCAGTAGTTCCCTTAACGTCTCAAAGTTTGTTCCGGCAGACAGGTTTCTGCCGGACAATTTCTGTCGAAGTTGGTTTAAGTTGAACACATGAGGAAGTTAAAGTTTTAGTTTTTCGTTTTCAGCTCCAGGAGCAGTTTTATTTTTAGTTTCAGTTTTTCTCTCGTTTCGTGCCTCACTTGTGCAATTTAAGCCAACTTGTTTTCTTGTTTTAGTAAATTCAGACTCTGTGGGAGTTAGGCTAGGTTAGGCCTATCTTGTACTAACCTTGTTTGTTTCAGGTTGACGACGTAACTCCGTAGGTAAGCGGAGTGACTACTTAGCTTACTTGTTGATTTGTTAAGTTAGCTAGTAGTGTGTCATTTAGATATTTGCCCACAGAGTCAAGTCAAAATTATTTTCCCCACAAGTCCTAGGCTAGAGTGGTGATTTCTAGTTGGGTGTTTAGTAACCCGCAACGTTCGTCTCGAGCTCTGACAACCAGGGCTATCAAATTTAGGCTATCCGAATCACTATCGACTCCTGGGAAACTCCCTGCGACCAGACTAGGGCGAATCCTGGGATCTTCGTTGTATTACCGGTGGCGTAATTTCCCACTTGTCGTCCGCCAGGAAAATTACGTCACATTCTGTTAATTACGTTTTTTTTACCTGCCCTTATGACAGTGTGTATCTGGATCCGGATCCGAAGATCCGAAGATCCGGATCCGAATTTTTCAAGATCCGGATCCGGATCCGGTACCGACATTTTCTTGGATCCGCCCATCACTAGAAACAAACATTTTTTTTATTTGAGCATTTATTTATTTTTATTGCTTTCAGATTTATTGAAATATTATAAGAATAGGTCTATGTACACTTCAAAATATAGGTGGTCAATTTGTTCTTAGAAAAATCAATTTTTTGTTGTTTCTTCAAATGTCTTTGACTTACTTTGAACTCAAAAAATAACTGTCAAATTGAACATTTTAGAACTCAAGGAGTGTAATATCTGTTTAGTAGATTTGTATTGTTTCTATTGCACCGCTGTGTCTGTACAGGTGGCAGTTCAGCGTATGTGCCCACTCCTAGTCCCAGCAGTGCAGTGAATGTAGGGGCTTATGGCACTCCGTCTCCCATGAGCTACAGTCCACTCACCCCTGGCGCTGCACCATCTCCTTACAACTCACATGCTACTGGTATGTATCTTACAACAGAAGCATTATGGTCAAATAGAATCTACCTATCTATACATTGGTCTGTTCAAAAAGTATCCGACCTTTCTTTGTATCTGGTAATATCCAACAACCGCATTGAGCTGCACCCTGGCGCGTAGATCGAGGCAACTGTAAAGAACATCGGGTGACCTTAACATGGCGTCAGTTCATTGTCGGCTGTCAATCGTGAAACTGTGTACGTAGTGATCATCAAAATTCAAATTTAAATTCTTTATTAACTCATAATATATTTTTTGTAGTACAATGTAGGCTACATAGTTAGAAATTTTGTCAATACTCATGATGATAAAACTAATTACAATTAAAACTTTAAAAATGTAATAGTAATACTGTAGAAGTAAAATAATCTGACAATTCTTAAAACTAAGCTTAGACTACATGATGAAATCGTTGTTTTTTTGTCCTAAACAAAATGATGGATCGAGTGGAACGGCATTACTGCATTAAGTTTTGCCAAAAACTGGGTGATACCTAAACACAAACGATTCTTAAGATTCAGCAAGCTTTTGGAGAAGACTCTCTGGGTGTAACACAGATAAAAGAGGGGTATAACAGATTTAAAGACAGTCACACTTTGGTAGACAGTGAACCTTGGTCTGGGAGACCATCAACAAGTTGAAACGATTAAGTTATCGATTAAGTTCAAGTTTTAGTGAAGAAGGATAAAGTATTACTGTTCATGAACTAGCTACAGAAGTTAATATCAGTAATGGTTCCGTTTATTGAATTTAAACAGATGATTTGCTCAAGACATGCTGGAATGCTTTCAGAACTACCCAAACTTTCTCAAAACAGTTATAACTTCTGATGAGTCGCGAGTTGGTATGATCCCGAAACCAAGGCACAGTTTTTTCAGTGGAAACACTCAACATCATCACGGCAAAAAAAGCACGCCAAGTTCAAAGCAAACTCCAAGTCATGCTGACTGTGTTTTTTTTACTGCAATGGAGTAGTTAATCATGAGCGCACCAGAGGGACAAAACATTTCTAAGGAGTACTATTTAAAAGCTCTACGCCAGATGCGCGATGCAGTGTGTCGCAAGCGTCCCAATTTGTAGGCCACAAACTCTTGGTGACTTCATCAGGACAATGCTCCAGCGCATTCTTCCAATTCTTGTTCAAGGCTTCTTGGCAAGACATGGCTTTCCTGTGCTCCCCTACTCACTGGATATGGCACTGTGTGACTTCTGGCTGTTCCTCACCATAAAGATGCTGCTTAAAGGGGCCTGATTTTAGAGCAGAAATTAGATAATGCAAAATGGAAATGGGACTGCTCGTCTGAAGTCAATTAAGAAGGAAGAGTTCCAGGCTTGTTTCCAAAAGTGGCAGGAGCGCTGGAATAAGTGTGTGAAGTCCGAAGAAGATCATATGTTAAAACAAATTGATCAGTAAATTATGCTTTTCCTGAACAAGGCCAGATACTTTTTGAACAGACTTCGTATACACAATAAGGATTTTCTTTCATACGGTACATTCCATTTTCAGCTGTCCGTTAAATTAAAAATGTAACTGATTTTTATAATTGAGGTGTCATTGCAAAGCTTATGATCTAGAACAACTGCAAGTGCTAAGGCAATTTATTCTTTAGGACGCAGCCCCCTCACAATTAATTCATTAAGAGAGTCCATTTTCAAAGACCCAGTTATGCCAACTAACTTTCATAACGGTTTAAATGTGAATTGTAATTTAACAGCTATTCCTTCAGTTTAATGTTTATCAACAGTCTGATTGCAAATATGAGACAAAAAATTTTAAGAAAAAATGGATTTTAAATAGGCTAATTTTTTGTAACAGTAACCTCATTAAAGTAGGTAAACCACTTTTCATGTTGTAAATCTAAAAGCAACCAATTTGATTTATTGTAAATTAGTAGTTTTATTAATTAATAACTGTCTCAATTATTGATAATCTTTTAAAAGTAAAAGGGTATTGCATAACTGTATTTGTTTTGTCTCGTAATCAAACCCTATTTAAATGTGCAGGGTCTCCTCATTGTGATTAGATAGTTTGTAATGACTTTGAGAGTGTGAACTGATTGCATGTGTTTGTGCAGGTATTGATCCCATGATGCAGGATTGGCATACGACTGATATAGAAGTGAGGGTGAGAGAGAACCATGACGACCCAGACCTAGTGGGACAGATAGGTACCATCCGCAGTATATCGGTGAGAACATTTATATTCTGTACTATAAATATACTATCACATAGTGATACTATCATATCACTAAAGCATTTTTAGTTGCATAAACTGAACAAAATATTTAAATTTAAAATTCTAAGTTGGAATGCTCTTACGTAAATTTATAAACACTGAAATAAATAATTCTTTAAAACTAAACAAAAATTTTCAAAAGTTATTGGTAGACGCACACAGGAAGGGTTGGAAAAAGTAGAATAATGCCTAATTTGTGATGTAGGTTTTGTAACTGCTAAGCAATTCACCAATCCCAGCAACTTCTACTCGAGTCATCGACCATTTATTTTAGGAGGGCCTCTGGCACTAAGCTTTGCTGCAGACTGATGAACACCTCTTGAATTGCATAAGATTCAAAGATTCCAGGCTAAGCTCGGTTGGGAGGCGCCTTAGACTGCTCGGCTATTGATCAGACGTAATTTTCTATCTGCTAATAAAACTCCAAACAACCAAAATTTAAAGTGTAGTTATTAATTCTAGAGTTGACTCCTAGTTTACAGAACATGTCAGGTGTCGCTGTGACTTACTCCAGTGTCTGATTTATCAGCGTGGTAGGGCAATATAATAGTATGGATTTATAAGGACAATATAAGAACTGTTAAAAGCAAATGATACATTTTACCGAAATACCTCAAATGAGCTTCTCAAATCTCTTTGTGCAGGGTGGTCTGTGCAATGTGTTCTTGCCAGACGAGGATCGTACGGTGAGCATCAGCTGTGAACAGTTGGAGCCTGTCATCCCTTCGTGGCCGAACCCTGTCAAGGTGATCATGGGAGAAGACAAGGAGCGAACCGGCTTCCTTCTGTCCATCGACAATCAAGAGGGTGTCGTCAAACTGGACGATGACGACGTCAAGATGTTACAACTGCGGTACTTGTGTAAATACAGCAAACCAGGACAGGACTAGACTGATATGTAGTGTTACATACTGCTTTATTATCAATTCCCAAAATCTGACTTGTTATATATTTTGAGTTGTTCAGGCTTTGGTGTCAATAAGCCTATTCTGGCTCTTGAATGTTATCAGGTAGGCTTTTTGTTTGGATGTATAAACTAAATTGTTTTTGAGATGTTTCAAAGCCAGGAATTTTAAACAGTTCTAAATGAAAACTGTATCAGAGTTAAGTGTTTGTAAAAAAGATTGTTTTTTATGGATGGTTCTCTAAAAAATCTAAAAAAGTAGAGCTCATACTTTTTTACTTTTTTTACTGAACTATCAAATATTTAGAGATTGTTATTTTAAATTGTTTTAAAAATTTGTATGATGTTATTTTTAACGGTTTTGAAAATTGTAGTTAAAGGATTGTCTAAATAGTACAAACAATATTGCTGTACTAAAATTGTGTTTTTAAGTGATTTTCTAAAGGTTTGTTAACTAAACAAGTATTTTTCCTAGATTTTGCCTCCTCAACAAACAGATGTATTGAAGATTCATTAATTGGTTTACATCATGTCAATATAACCAAAGCCTGTACACCTGTAATATATATTTTGTTGTAGTTTTCATTCTTGATCATTTGAATTTTTGAATTATTTTTTTACTTTAGTGATGGAATAATATTATGGAGACATGAAATTTTTATTTATAGTCTTACAAAGTATTATATGGATAAAATTGTGGAAATTTGAAATACAGAAAATGTGTCCAAATTTCAATAATTGTAATTGTAATATCTTTTTCTCCTTATGTTTTACCTCTGAATGAGATCAGTATATATTTATTTGTATATTTTTTTCTTTCTATTCTATTGTGAGAATATAATATTCCTTTTTTCATTTTTTTATACATGCACCTGCTTTATCCCAGGTGAACACTTTTACTGTAAGTCCAGAGTGCACATTGCTTCAGAATTAGATTCAGATTTTCGGCGTGTGGTTAACCTGAGTCAGATTTGATGTTGGTGGCCACAGTGGAAGCAGGAAATACATAGTCAGTCGTAATTATGGAGTTGTCAGATGAGGAATCAATGTGCGCAATTCATAGCATCTGAAACTGTTTTGTAGTAACAACCAGTTGAAAATGGTGTTCATGTTATTATATTTATATATTTTTTATTTTCCCATATCTAAAAATGATTGAGCACGGTTCTTTCTATACTGTTGAATGGAGCCCGAAACTGATTATTAAAATTGAACATCGTATTGTAAGGAAGTGGTGTAACCTACAAAGAATTTTTCCTGAAGAGCGTTTAGTAATAACCCTAAGGTAAGGGTGAAAAGTTAAATATTTTACTATAAAGACCAACTTGATTTAATGAAAACAGTATGCGTACGAGCTCTATCAGAAACCAGAATGAAGAATTCATTCTGGTAAGCAGATGCCTGCGTGAGGGCTCGGCTACCGGCAGCCACTATGGTCATTTCCATTTAAAATCAAGAGCCATTCCTGACGCTGAAAATCTGTATCGACGTGCACTCTGGACGTACCAATACTGTGGTGTTACCTATATAAGGTAGTATTTTCCAACCCTAGTGCAAACACCATATCACTCAATAGAAAATGCTCCTATATAGCAAACAAAATATGTACAAAACCCTCTATATAATGAATCGTTTTTCATTTTCTTGATAATACATTTACTTACAATTTTGTATAATGTGGTAAAAAATAGTGTTCGTACCACGGGCCAAAAGGGGTTTTCCAGCTCTCAATCGTTTTAAGTTCCGACTTTGTCTCGAACTTAAAAATTATCTCGAGCCAGCAAAACCTAATTTTCGGCCCTAAGTACGATATATCCTATATATTAAAAAAATATTAGTTATTTAGTTTACGCAGATTGCAAGACAATCGCTTGACGGATTTTGATGATTTCTTTTTTTGATTTGAAGGTCATTATATATAGAATGTCGTGACGGAGCCAGAATTTTTATTTAAACCTCAGGGCTCTGACCACGGGAATTCCAAGTTCCCATGTTTTTCATATGGAGGAGATTTTTATTTTTTATTCATGGTTTATCAATACCATATATCTGTTAGAACATTTTTATGTAAAACATCTATCTCAAAATGTTTGTTTTTGTTTATTATTTATTAAGATTAAAATATTTCTGGGTTAAGCTGTTTTAGAAAACCATAAACTTTTACTACTTCTATTTACACTACACAGTTGAATTGTGTGTGTAATTTTCTCTTTTATTTCTTTTAGAAATATGTAACTAGATTTTTACTTAATGAACAAAGTACCTACACACCTTTTTGGTGGCGTTTGGACGTATCTTCAGTCTCTTTATGGAAAAAGGTCCATGCCTTCTTTATGCAATCAGATATTTGATCCATGGAAGGTACCTCAATTATTGTATCAAGTATGTCAGTCAACAGATTTATCAAAGTTTTTTCACCACACTATGATGTTTTTGGCTTTATTACATACGTTAATTGGTGGCTGAAAGTTACGTTTTGCTGGCCATGCCAGCTGTCATCGTAATTTGGGGACCGAGCAGGTTTTTACATCCCTGGGCCGCAAAATCAGCTGTCCGCTTGCATATTAATTACACAAACAGTATCCATAGCATTGAAATAGAATTTTTTTATTTTCACTGTTGCCTAGCAACTGTTTATTATTATTTTTGCTGATTCCTGAAATTACTTCTTCACATAACCTTAAAGTTGCGTTGACTATAAGTTTTCATTATTATTATTGTGAATAGCAGTAGTGTGGTGAAAAATAGTGTTCGTACCACGGACCGAAAATGGTTTTGCAGCTCTCGATCGATTTAAGTAAACTATCTCGAGCCGGCAAAACCTCGTTTTCGGCCCTAGGTATGAAATATACTATTACAGCTGCATTTCTAATTTATAATATAAATAGGTTACATACCTTACGTCGTCAATCCTAAAATTAGTCTATGGCGACTAGTTTCGAAACATCAAGGTTTCATTGTCGAGCCTCTTGCCTCTTAAAAACATTACATGCAACACATGAGTTGCATCGTGTCCGTCACCGCGGTACTGGCCGGCCACGCATTCATTTTTGTAAACAGTATGTGTCCGTGTTCGTGTGTTTATGTTAAATGTACTGTGTATAATGAGGACGACAAGATGTCACAATGTTTTTAACAGGCAAGAGGCTCGACAATGAAACCTTGATGTTTCGAAACTAGTCGCCATAGACTAATTTTAGGATTGACGACGTAAGGTATGTAACCTATTTATATTGCCAATAATCAATCCTGGAGGCAATGATGAATAAATTCTAATTTATTTTACAAAGAGTTGCCAAAGCCAAGAGCGGGCCAAACAGCTAGTACTATTTATTGTTGGTTGGTAAAAAATCAACAATTTTGTCATGTTGGGGTTTGGGGTGGCACAATCATCTCAGTTTGCCTATGAATAGAATAAAAATGTTCTTAGGCCCTTACTGAGGTTCCACTGTAATTAGCACTTAATTGTTCAAAATCATATAATTGATTGACCTTAAGTTAAGCAAACACAGGGTGTAGTAAAATAAATAATTTACTGTAATCATTTTATTAAAATTTAATAACAATATACATAAAATAAATTGAAGTGAATGTCAGCGTGAACAAAAACCAAAACTTAAACATTGTAAAAATTCTCAAAAAATCACAACCAATAAAGTTGAATTGGTTGAATGGAAAGTAACTTAATATTAAATACAAAACATTCATCAGTGTAATAGTATATGAATAGGGAGTGTGATAATGAATACAATATATACATATAATCATAATCGGTTAAGGCATTTGCGGTAATACACTAGCTTATTTTTTATTTTATAAAGGAACTTTTAGTAAATAATTACTAATTAGCTAAGTCATTAGTACATTAAAGGTGAAGAAAATGATTTTCTTTTTTCAATTTAATGTCATAAACTTGTATGCTGTTAAAGGCACTTGTAAAAACTTGTTAAAGTAAAAATGTAGGTCCTTGGCAAAAAAATTAAATTATATTACATCATAAAAAACATTTCACAACTCCTAGTAAATATCAAAATAGACACTTAAGTACACTTATGAAAGGCTTAAATTACATAAATCAAACAGTAACTAAATACAAATTTAAAACAATCTTAACGAGATCAAACAAAACTGTGGTGACTGATATGTTTGACTTGGATTTTATGAGATATGACAGTAAAAGATAAATTTTCTACTACAAAGTAATTACTTTTAGTTTTAGATAAAATTGAACTTATCATTGATCTAGGATGGATATGTTTTTGTAAGTATCCATCGAAAAAGCAGGAAAAGGCTAATGATTACTTTTGATTTGTTTACTCTAATGATTAAAAATATATACTGTCACGCTATTAAAAACATTTAAATTCATCATTTTGTTAAACTGAGTCATAGGTTTGTACATTCATAGATTATGAACTTGGATAATAGGTTGTATGTAATGTTCTATTATCAATGATGATAGATGTTTTCTACAGTACCTGCTGTAGCTTATTCAGAAAAATATCACTGTCGGTGTGTCCACAGACCAAAGCGAAGTACAGGTAAAGCTACTAGTTTAATCATAAACAAGAAAAATATAACACCAATAAAAATGGTTTGGTACGGTAGTTAAATTTTAGTCATCATACCACAGCTAGTTCAAGTTATATTCACTCCATCAGCATTAAAATAGTACCAAAGGTTTGATTGTTTAAAAATATGTGAAATAAAATTATTATCACAAGGCTTTTTAATGCCTACAAATTAAGCTCATAATACTATCAATAATAATTATTATTATTTTTCATATCTAGTATATATTCGTTTTTTGTTAAAATATGTAATGGCAACAAATTCAATCATTGTTTAGTAAATTATAAGTTCCAGCTTATTATTTATCTTTACATACCATTAAATATAAGGAAATAATTCAATAATTTCTTTAAAACCTTTAAAGCAGTTCATTTTAAACATTAAAAAGTCATTTCAATTTTTCATAATGGTTGGATAAAAAGTACTTACCAACATTAAATGTTGTATTTACTTAAAACTTAGCCTATAATCAGCCCCTGGCTGATGCAGTAGAGTTTAGGTTAAGACTAAATTCATCCTAAATGTAACAAGGTAAATAATCTTTTGTGTATATTGTATAAAAGCTTAACCTAAAGGATAAAATAATATAGCCTAACAAAGGTCCGTGAGAACCTGAAAATTGATACCACTTAGTAAGGACTAAGGAGAGAAGTTTTTACAAGCCTCATTTCACCATTGCTTCTGCATACATCTACCATATCCACTTTACAAAAATCACTGGATGAGATACAAAATCACTGGTACGTCTCAAGAACTATTGCAGTGCAGACACTATGACAAAGGGTTTGTGCCGTTTCCTGCATTCAGTACTGCCTCAGCGACAGTTTTTGTTCCATTGCTAAAGGTGTCTAGTACTGCAGCCATTGCGGTATTATTGCCAACAGCTGATTGGAGTTTGTCGATGGTGTCAGTTACATTGACTGACGACACAACTGTCGATGCCAGCTGTCCGAAGACTTCGGTAGCGTTGACCGCGGTCTTGTTGAACAAATCTTGGGCTTCATCGACCACAGGAGAGTACATGGCTGCGATCTCCTCTATACTTGTGTACGTCCCGAAAATAAGTGCCAGCACTCCGAACCCGAAGACTAGAATATTTTTTAGGATGATCCAGTTGCATGCGCCGAATCCGAGGTCCCAATAGGTGAC